ATCAAAGGTTCCGTAAGCGTTCGGTGCACGTGACTGTGACATGCGAGTGGGGCAGCATCGTGTGTTCAGTCATTGTCCCGTGAATAAACGGGAAGGTCACCCTAGTTCATGCTATTGCAGCGACAAATACAGTTGAAATGTAATTTATCTTATTGAGAAGGCTTGTGATTTTAATTTTTTTAGATGGAAGCTCCTGTGTTTCCATTACAAACCTGAACGCTTCAATTCCAATTTGCTTTGATGAAGCACATCCAATTCAACTGGAAATGTAAGTGCACAACGACGGGACAATTTTTTTTTTAATGATTGATTGAGTTATGCAGTGTATATATGTACGTATATTAACCAAAGTGAATTCCTGCTCAATGAGCATTGCGGCTGTGCTCATCTCTGGTTTACAGTCCTGAGCCAGTGATGGATGCTACACATTCCAATGGCGGGGGCAAGTAATTCCACATGACTTCCCTACAAAGTGTTACTTGGTTTATCGACCAACTAGGATTTGAACTCGCAGCATTCCAACACGTGAGTTCACTCAATTGTCAAGCCACCAGGCCGGTTATAATGATTTTAGATAATAAATAGCATCACAGCATATTCTATCCCGTTACCTCTCTCGCCTGGTATCCAGAAGGCATGGGTTCAATCCCAACACTGACGTCTGTATATTTGGAGTTTGCACGTTTTCCCCGTGGTCGTGTGGTTTTTTTTCTCCGGGTCCTGCGGATTTTTCCTCCACACTTAGAAACATGCGTTTAGAGTATTTGGCTACTATAAATGTCCACGTGAAAAGCCACTTAGTTGAGATTTGATTTGTGGCCAGGTCGCTATATAGCTCAGTAGGCCTTACCTGGTAAAATAAAAATACTAAGCGGTCCAACACAAAACTGAACCTTACAATTGCTATCACACTTCATTCAACACCAATTTACAGAATTCCTCCGTGGCGCGGACCGTGAGTCAGTGTGCGCACTGCACTCAAACACCCAGGACGTGGACAAATCATACGGCATGACAGAGACAGGGTTTCTTTAAAAAAAAACTGTCCTAATAATATCACCTTCCTCGGAAGGTCAGCAGAAAATCCCCCGAAACAGCAGGGTGTGAATTAATCTCACTCCCTCAGTCCCCGATGCGTCAGATTTGGTGTACAGCATTGGCTGTACTTGAGAAAGTGGCCCGGGTCTTGCAGATAGGCAAGAAAACAGATGACGCGTGTGAAAATCAAAGTGTGGTTAGATCAGCGATAGGATGCTGGAAGCACGCCGAGGACAGCGGTGGACGTACAACCCACAGCCTCTTCTACTGGCGCCACAAACTCCCACAACGATGTCCCCACCGATCGCGAGCGGAGGACGAACACGCGTGCCCGTATTTGTCTTTTGTGTGCTTTGAGCATCGCTACCTGCCCGCAGGCTGTTGCGAGGACCTGGCTGAGTCAGCCTCAACCGATACTGACAGCCAGCTTCAATAAACAACAGCGCAAGCTGTATCCAAACAGTCCAGCGAAGCAGTCGAGCATGCGGAAATCCTAAATTCCGTATTGATTTAATGTTTTCGAGCGGCATTTGTGTGCAGTACGCACACACTGGGCACCATCTAGTGTAAATTATCATAAGCATTATTTATTGCTGCGTTATCAGTGTGACATGCTCATCATTATTATCAGCCATGACCAATCCACTGCTGGATAAGGGCCCCTCCCCAAGCCGTCGGTGTCTATGACGACCCTGCGGATGTAGTTATCCACTTCCCACCAATATAGGGCTGATTTCATTGCTCCATCTCCTCGGTGCAGGTACTCTTGGAGCTGTTAAGCCCATTAAATGCCACTCTGTAACTATTTTTGACTGTTGGCCACCATTCCTTCTTGTCATTATGTCCGACTCAAGCCCACTTAGTTTTATTAACAGTCAATATGACGTCCATTACCTGCGTACGTTCTATAATAGATGTGTTTATTTTTTTGTCCTTTAATGTAATTCCTAATGTGCACTTCTCCGTGATTTTGCGCACATCTCAGTTTTCCCCTGTTTGTTTTGTGACAGGTTGTGTATGAAATTTGAATGTTATTTTCAGCAATTTTCTGCTGATGCGTGCGATTATTTCGCAACTTGCAAAAAAGACTAAAAAATAAATATAAAAAACTCTACAGTGTCAAGCAAGAGCTTGATATATCTACTACTGGATAAAAGCCTCCACAATGTTTTCTCTGTGCATAATTACAATTTCAGCCATAGCACTATATTATTAAATATACTGCAGCAATTAACATGACTATGACATTTAAACATAGACATTATGAAACGTCATCACCATTGGAACCTCCTTTGCCAGTAGCAAAATATGATAATTGTTTTTTTTTACCCTTTTATCTGGCAACAAACTGACACCTTTTTTTACAAGGAGTCATGTTTGCATTGACCACAATACCTGCGGTCGGAATGCAAACAAAAAACATAACTCTGATAATGTATGCATTGTCCTTGAAATTGATTGGTTCACACCCGAGACAGCTTTCCTTAGAGCCTAGTCTCACATGGTGTTGGACCAGATGACGCCAAAAGGCGTCCAATACCATGTGGGACTAGGCTCTAAGGAAAGCTGTCTCGGGTGTGGACCAATCAATTTCAAGGACAATGCATACATTATCAGAGTTATGTTTTTTGTTTGCATTCCGACCGCAGGTATTTTGGTCAATGCAAACATGACTCCTTGTAAAAAAGGTGTCAGTTTGTTGCCAGATAAAAGGGTAAAAAAACAATCATCATTATGAAACGTGTTGAACATTCACCCTCTACTCAATTGTTGGGAAAAGCATGAGGGAAAAGAACCTCAAAGCAGTAAAAAATAAAATCCCTGCCAAATCCATAACATTGAATATAACGTGGGGTCCTAATATCGAATATTCTTAAACAGCTTGATCCGCTAATCATCCCCACTCAATTATTTGAGGAAATTCGCTCCTCTCTCAATGTTTTGGAATTCATTCCCTATTCCTTTAACCAGTCGAGAAAATTAATATACTTCCAATGACTCCATCTCTTTTCAATGATTGCAACCTATTTCTTAATTTATGTTGCAATTGCACTCCAATCATTCTTCTGCTATTTGGTGTCATAAGGTCCCCGAGAGTGATTACGCTTCATTGACCTCCCCCAAGGTTATGGGGTGCCGAGCTCTCCGTGACTTCTATAAATAGTTCCTGGCTATGGTGGCATGGCACGATTCGCTTCTGATCGGACAACAGCTGCCATTCCACTTAGAAATCCTGGGAAGAAAGGATGGATCTTGCGACAGTCCTCGGAAAGCTTTATATAATCAATTCCCACTCTAAAGACCAACCTACTTCGGCCGCTATGGATGGGGGCATGTACCTTTTTGGGTGCACGGGATGTCCTGTGGAGGTGCACAAGCTGTTGGGGCACTATGCACAAGCAAACTAAGAAAAAACCCATCGGGCCCAAGCAGCTCAAGGGGCCCTTGATTCATGACAATAACAGGGGTGCATCAATTATCATCTCAAATACAAATAAAAAAAAACATAATAAGCTAATTAACAAAAATATCGAATTAATCTCTGTCATCATTATCCTGTCTATATTTCTGTCATCTCATCTCACGACAATGCTGTTCTTTGTCTATATTTCTCTTATCTCACTACATCTATATATATTTTTTTCTATATCTCGACTTTAGTGTCACTAGGATGTTATAAATTTATCTTGCACAACTCCTCCTTTCGTAGTTTGATGGAGTCAGCGTTAGCTGACCCTCAAAGAGGAACACCAATAACGTGTTTTTTTAAATGTGTTTACGTTAGCCGACACAACCTTTCCAAGACCTAAATAACCGTTTCGGCCACATTCACGGCAAATGTTTCTATAAGTGCCTCCAGACTTGCAGTACCCTGGGGACCTCTAGGTGTGCCTTCATAGAACTGAACCCCATCAGTCTTACTATGGGTTCAGGTTCTGCAGAAATAAAATGAAACTAGTTGGCCTGTGGCCACATCTGCGGCTCTAAAGAAACGCAGCCTTCTGCACATATTTGACTGTACGCTTCTGTTACCTTAAATCAAGAGCAAATTCAAACATTCAACTTCTGTAGGCCTTTGCCCCTTATTCTTTAGGATCTGCCCCTGCCTCTTTTGAACCCATCCCTTATTCTTTAGGATCTGCCCCTGCTTCTTTAGGACCTGTCCCTTCCGCTTTAGGATCCGTCCCTTCCTCTGGACATGGGGTTGGGCTTATAGGGGTGGATGTAGTGTAGGTGGGGCGTCTTCCCGCCAACGATCAAAATCCCTCTTAGAGCAATATAATAATAGATAGGCACTCAATAGACCTGCAAGGCTGGACACAGAGGCCCTTTGGTGCTCTCTTATTCTGACGCACTGGAAACACTATTTACAGAGATGCATATTGAGGTTTCACATCTGCTCCCTTAAGACTTTCTCAGTAAAAAAATTCTGCATACGGCATGTCTCATGAATCAGTGCAGAGTAACATTCGAGTTGGTGAAATCTCCTAATTTGTAAAGATGCCCTTATAGTATGGCTCAAACGTATGGATGTGCATTTTAATCCCATCTGGATGTGCCGATTTTCCAAAGGGACAATACTTTTATTTTATTTTATAAATGCCACGACTCTCTCTTCAATGATGCCATCATGCCTTTCGGATCTGCCCTGGCACCAGAAAGTTATTTTTATGTAAATTTAACACAATGGCCTGCATGACTAATATTGACACTTGGAGGAACCACAAACTGCCATAAGTGCCCTCGTGGACTTGTAGGTTGTATATATTGGCATTAATTGGACACTTAGTAAGAGCAACTTGAATAAGCAAGATTATTGATATTATCAAATATGATTTCAATTCAATTCCTATTCGACCTCACCTGCAAATACAAGGGGATGCCAGGACAAGGCCACATGAATTACCTCTGTGGGCCAGCAAACTACTTCTCTCCATCTTTCTCCCTGCCTTTTCCTTTTGTTCTCAGTGCATTGCTTGGGACATCGCTGACAAATGCCGGCACACAATACGGAACATTGAAAGATGGACTCCCAGATGTGTTTCTGTGCTATGCCTTGTTGTGGATGTTTGGGCTGTCTTTGTTATAAAACCAAATATATGTTTTGAAATAAATGCGTTGAAAATCTCTCCGTTATGAAGACAGGACAATGCCAAAGCGTGGCCGAAATGTGTCCCTCTTCAGAGCAGTGTTATTGACGAATGTATTGAGTTGTTATTTGTCCTTGACTACCTCTGCCTTTACTGTATCACAAATGTTTGTTATCCTCCTGTGGATAATCTGGCAAGTGTTGCTCATTCTGCTTTAAATATTAAAGGCATCAAGAAAGCCAAATCGAGTTTGAATAGGAATATTTAAAAAAAAAACGATGCGTTTACGAAGAGAGCTGATACCTATTAATAACTGTAAATATTGTTCCTCAGGGTAGGGGAAGTTGTAAAATCCCCCGTCTGGGCCAGAACAGATGTCAGAAGTACCAGATGCAGAACACGACTGCTCAGCCGCCCAGACCAGTGGCAGGCTAAATGCTCACGTGATTTATCAGCCATTTTCAACAAATTAAACGAGCAGTGAATATATTTTGGTATAATTTATATTGCCGTCATAACGCTACAATATTGTTTTACTTCTTTATTCATTTTTTATGAGCAATGCCTGACATAAATTCCCAATATTGCATGCATGATTTATACAGGCGGCCCATTATATGCGAGTGTCACGCACGAAGCTCGAGTCTATTGCATACAGGACAGACGCAGTTCACCGGAGTAATTTGCACAAGGGCTAGTTTCTTTGATCACAGAGTTGGAGTTAATAAAGATCCAGTATGAGGATGATGGTAAGCCTAACGTTGATATGTAAGTGGAGGTAATAATGCGACGAGAAGATAATAGTAATACAATTAAACATAAATGTTCAGTCCTCTGTCAATCCACTGCTGGACGGAGGCCTCCCCTGATGCTGTGTTTACCATGGGGGGTTGGGGGGGGTGTTTAACCATACTTCGCCATGCTGGTTAGTGTGGTCTGGTGATTATAATAATAAAAACAGTCCTGCAAGAATCATACAAATTTACGTAATAATACACTTTTGTTTAGCTCCATCTCTGCAACGTAATTTTATCATAAGAAATGTAACGGTAGGTGCTGATTGGACTGCTATACAAAAATTAATAGGTACTTGTGAGTCGTTTTAATACTGTTTTCTACATAACTCTTTTTTGTACCACAATGAATGCTTAAACGTAACAATCATTTGTAAAGTCAGCCGTGGAGGCAGTTTGACCAAACTTCACCATGCTAGTCAGTACAGGTTGGTGCTAGACTTAGTAAATCATTAGCCTCATTGTCATACCCAAGAAACGTAAGCCGTCCATCTAATTGCCTTTTAACTATCCCAAGAGCAAGAAGAGGAAAAGGTGACAAAGCCTTTGCCGTTGAAGCACCAATGTTTTAGAACAACCCTATTTCCTCCCTTAAAATCGTAAATTTTCCTTTTAAAAATATGCTGGAAAAGGAGATTAGTGCTGGATACAACTGCATTTGCAAATGTGATTTGTAACTTTCATCCTTACTCATGTATCGATAGTTACATTTGTATGTGCAATTTTATAGACTTTTAATTTTATAGAGGGACTGTTTTGTATGTTGTTTTGCTGCCTTGCCCAAGATTGGGAATTAGTGCACTTCCTGAATTTGACTTTATATACTTTTTATTTTATGTATTCATATTTATTGATTTGCTTACGTTTCCTATACTTTACACCCCTATCGATTTTTGTATTATTGTTATAATTTCCTGACCCCACCCCTACTGGACATCTGTGAAAAAGAGCTTCATAGCTCATCGGATTTCCCCAGGGTAAACAAAGATTCTGATTCTGCATTAGGATCATTTGAGATATCACTTTCCACTGGTGTTAGCTGTGGCCCAGAATTTAACTCCAGGATCACAACACAGTTGTGCTAACCACTGCATTTAGTTATTCTCTTTATCCCTTTCCTATGTTTTACCCGTAAAAGAACCCAATAGAAATGCATGTTCAATGTGTATTGGTACTTCGTGGCCATTAGATTCAGATGGAACTTATTTGACGTTTCATATTTTATATATATAAAAAAATATATAGTATTCCTAAACTTGAAACCAGTTACTTACACTTCAATATCAAGCATTGCAAAGTGGACGAGACACCGCTCCTCTGTCAACGGTCTCACCTGCAACCCTGACCGAAGCCTCGGAGCTCTGCGACTAAAGTAAATATCTAATCTCAAGCATTATACGAACACAGACTCGATTTGGTGTAATGGTTTTTGCGTGCTGGACTTGCAAACCAGAGGTCACCTGGTTTGATTCGTTCCCCTAATGGGGGGCAGTTGAAAGAATTTGGTTTCAAATCCCCCCGCTGACTCTGTCCATCCAGCAGTACAAAGAGGTACAAAACAGTCGCCTGGCAGGTCGCGTGTGGTGGGATCAAGTGTGGGTACCCCCACTCCTTCTAAGGCATCTGGCCAGTATGGAAGAGTAGGCCAAAATTACCCTCTGGAGAACAACTCTCGAGAGCTCCCTCGAGTCGAGGATCTTCTGCCAGCAGTCATTTCGGCAAGCTATTGCAGGGCTGCACCTTCGTATCGTCATACTACCGTATATCAGAAAAAAAAGCTTTGCTGGCTGGCTTCCTGCCTGGATTCCTGTCTTCCTGGCAGGCTGGCTCGCAAGTGCGCGTGCGCAGTGCATGACTTCACCACGCACATATGCGTGATGACGTCACCCGTATTCCACAGTGTTGAGCTGGGTGCATGCATCGTGTATCCCGCACAAATGCGACGGAGGAGAGAGGGGAGCGAAGGAGGTAGAGGAGGAAGGAACAGATGGAGAGGAAGAGAGAAGAGAGGGGCGGCGAGAGGGTGAAAGGGCATGCAACGGAGAGGAAAGAGAGCAAAAAGTGAAGGAAAGCGACACGCAGTGGGAGGTTGAGGATTATGGAGAGGCAAGGGAGATTGTGATGGGAAAGTGGAGAGGTGGGAATAATGAGAGCGAGGGTGAGAGGTGGCAGAGAGAGAGAGAGATAGGATTGGCCGGGCTCCTCTCCACCCGAACGGGAACTCTATTGCTAGTGGCTGTCACCGAAACTAGCTGGGCAACTGGCTAAACGGGATTATCTGTGCAGCAAATAAACATTGCATTAAATTTGAAACAGCAGAAGAAGTTCACAGGACGTGATATACAGCGACACCAAATAGCTGCGAGGAACAAATACAGAAGACTGACACGGTTCATTTCAATTTGCTGGAACGTTTCAATGTGTGCTCCTATTAATGTTACCCTTTCGCCAAAATATTCTTTAAATCCTAAATAATATTTTTTTTAACTCACAATACCTATTACCTTGCAATGTATTACGTAAAAAAATCTGATACATTTTGGTGCCCCGAGTACAGGATTGTGAGAAGAGTATGGAAATGACAGAGTAACAGGCTCTCTACCAATAAAGTATGATATCACAAACATTTTGCTGGCTGGCTGGGACGGAAGGACGGATGTTAAAAATGTTAAAAGAATGTGCGGGTTTTTAGTTTACTAATTTTTTTTTAGTAAATCCCATTAAATAGAATGGAGTGGGATTTGCACGTATGCTCGCGCGTGAATAAGCAGTGATATGAGAGGGATACATCAGGTGCTGGATGAGATGGAAGCTACATCAGTTGATAGATGCAGCAATGGACAGAAAGAAGCGGAATTGCCGTCGCAAATGAAAATAAACGGTTCGTGAGAAAATGGGCCGAAAAATTTCAATGAACCAGAAGAAGAGAGGGATGGCAGTGAGGGGGGTCACGTGTGTGGCTTGGCTGGGCTGACCTTGTCCCCCTCGTCGATGCCTCCGGGGATCTTGGCCGGAGGGTCCATGCTCAGGCGCTGCTTCACGAAGGACTCGACTTTCGCGTTGAACTTCATGAACACCACGTAGCTCACATAGCAGCTGAGCAGCAGCATGCTCTCCCACCATTGAATGAGGTTGTCGAGGAAAAAGATGATGAGCATGCTGAGCCCCACGATGTAGAAGGAGACGTCGCGGAAGAGCGGCCACCAGGTGAGCACGAGGATCTCGCGCGAGAACACGGCGCACATGCCGATCACGAACAGGATGTTGAAGACGGCCGAGCCCACGATGGTGCCGATGCCTACGTTGCTGTGCGAGATGAAGACGCCGATCAGGGACGTGAATAGCTCAGGTGCCGAGCCTCCGGCCGCCATGAAGGTGGCCCCGGCGACGTCATCGGAGATGGCGAGTTTTTCGGTGATGACACCGAGCGCCGGCACGAAGAACTCGTCGCACACGATGGCAAGCGCGATGAACATGTAGATCATGCCCAGCATGTGCAGCACCACGGCACCGCGCTTCCGCTGCTCCAGGGTGAATAAGTCCCTCGGGTAATCGAGTTGCTCGTGCGAGTCCGTTTGGTTCATCTCCTTGGTCGACTGCGTGGAGTTTAGAGGATCTTTATTGTCCGATGTCATGCTGGCGGGCTTCCTGTCCCATCCGTCACTGTGCAGTTTGGAATAAGGAGTCCCGTCCTCGCTCTTTGACACCTTTCCGCCTTCGTCTATCGAGTTTCTCCCACTTTCGTCGAGTTTAACCACGTTCGCACTTTTGCTTTTCAACGAGGCGTCCGTCGGTTTTAGAACTTCGCGTGGAGCCGCCTTGCCCTCGTAACTCTGCAGGGCTCGAGTGCGGAAAATGCCGTTGCCTCTGGAGTCGAGGGGCACGGTGGCGGGTGGGCCGGCCGCCTTGTACGCCAGCGAGAGCACGGTGGCCACCAGCAGGGTTGCCACGAGGCCAAGCACCCTGCACAGCCGCAGCCGCCTCCTCCTCCCGTGCGCCATCACCTCCGGAATTCCACCAGCGACCGCGTGAAACTGCCTGAACAAAATATATGCAATCCACACGCAGCACAAATCGGCGAGACAGCGGTGTTGGTCAGCCCTTCCACTCATTTGCCGGGCGAAAATGTCAGAAATGCTCGCCGGAGGATGGCTCCCATCGGTGGTTCAGATCCTTCAGGACCCGTAAATATAATTACTCTGTGCCCACGTCTGATGTCAAGAAGGAACACGAGGGTGATTGATGACTAATGATGGGATTCACTTGAATTTCCACTCCTCCAGACAGAACCCTATAAGATCTCTTGGCAATACCCAGCTTAGCAGGACAGGACCATCACTTTAATTAGCAGGCATTTGTAGCATACACTGTCGCTGTCAAACTGCCAAGGAAAAAGAATAACGTCAAAGTAAATTGACTAAAACATTAGTAACACATTTAGCAATGTCGAATGAGCAATAAATGTAAGTAATTGGCAGGGGAGGCCAAAGTTGCACAGTGCACTTTTCTAACGTGTAATTTAGCGCTCTGGCAAGCGGTACAGTGTGCACGGTGCTGCCTATCTGTGTGGCCACCTGGAGTGGTTTAGAGCCACCTGCTCTGGTAGCCGGTTCTCTACATTCACAATGACATTTACACACACTTTCAATTGAATGGTATTAAGTGGTCTCTTGGGTAAGGAAGCCATGGGCAGCTAATCTCACAATGAGCAATCAATTATCCCTTTGGAAGACACGAGGGTAAAACATTGAGGGTGGTCAGGCTTAGCACAGGTGTGCGTGTGTGTGTATATTTTTTGGGTAGAAATTTAAAGTGTTAAAACTGATGGGTATTTTATCATGCAGATAAATAATTCCAAATAGACTTAATGGTAATATACAGTGTAGACACAAAGGTATTCATTAAGGGCTGTTCTAGTTTGTGTAGTCACGTTATATTTTTGTGTTAAGATGGTTATCCTAAAGTTGCACCTGCAGGGTGATGGTGATGTATACTGTGTGACTGCACCGACATTTGTCTGAGACAAACATCAATCAGTGCGGTTTTAATAATTAAAACAAAATCAGATAATGAAAACAATAAAAAATCACACCGTAAAAATAAGGGCACGGACATTAAATTTGAGAATCTTAATTAGTTTTTGTTCTTCACGGTGTTGTATTGATTTGGGAGTCTATTTGGTTCTGCTGTTCGTTACGAAGCGTAATAAAAATAACCCAGATGAAACCAAAAACTTCTCTACTTTCAACTCAAAATCGACACTCAATTTTAGAAAAAAAAAAGTTAGTTGCTCGTTCGTCAAGGTCAAGGTAAAGAAAATATTTTCAAGTTTCCCCTTCATCATTTGCAATACATTTTCCATCTCGAGATTGCTCTCAGAATACAGCCCCCCCCATCCCCTCTAGCTTTAAACAAAGATTATTATCATTGATATTTACCGAGCACTTTGCTGTGTCGTTAACGTTTTATTGCTGGTAATTAATAACAATAATAATCACGCCAATCATTATTCTTTTATCAGGCACAAGCGTGAATAATGTGCAGAAATCAATAAATACGTTGTAAGCATGGACATGTTTTGGGGCAAATTGTGGTCTTACATTACTACTGTGTTATCCCACCTTTTGCCGTCACAATTTTCACATTGCACTTTTTTTTATTAAAATGAACAACAACAACAAAAAACACCCATAGAAAGTTAATGCAGTCATTAACAAACACAAATCTACGGCGAATTGGCATGGCATACCCCTCCCCCCCCCAACACGACACAGTCTCTACCGTGAGCACCGCATTCCCGGACAGAGGGCGCTTTCTGCATATGCATTGCCATCTCTGAAAAAGTCACATCACATTAGGGTACCCCCGGAATTGTTTTTTTGTGTGTGCGCGTTAGCGCGCGTGCTCTTCCTTGCGTTGTCAAATTGTAGTTATTTATTAGCTTACTCTTTGCCGTTGATGTTGTTGAGTGAGCAGGCCGGGGAAAGCGGGCATATGCGTTTTAGTAATATAATTGGATCGCGCGCAGTTGTACGTAAATTCGTATACAATTTTTCGTCTACAATGTAGGCTCAGAATAATGCACCTTCATGCAAGCATCATCAACCTATAGTGCTACATATATACGTTGAGCTGTGTGTAAGCACAGCGTCATGTTCAATGTCAGACAGTGTGTTCCATATTATCACAATACTTACATTTCCATCATCATTAATACACAGTGGTACCATCCCGCGACATCATGAATGATACTGTCATACTTTTGAGTATCACCATCATCATCTATACAGTCATCATCATCACCACCACCATTATTCTTAATACACCATCGTGCATTTTGATATCATCTATACAGTGAAATCATACGAATTATTCTTAAAATACTCGAATGCATTTCTATAGCATAGTCGTTTATATAACGTCATAATTATCATCATAATTAAACATGAAACACTGCGAGCCATTAGTACGTCATCATCATTGTCATGATCATCATCTATAGTGATATGTACACAGAGCCGATGGCAAACACACACACGTACGCACAGAGTCACTGCGTAAAACCCCCACGAACTACACGAACACCATCACACACACACACAGCAGTACAAAGCAAGGGCACCCTAGGTCGGTGGGAGAGCACACGCACGGCACCCCTTGGCTTGTGCCAACCCCGAACCCAAAGCATCCACGAGATACCCTTCAATCGAGACCGCGAAGGTGATCGCATGCAAACCGATAAGGCGTCTCGCGTAGCCCCGGCCGGACTGCGTGACACAAAGGCAAAGATCCCCCGTGTAGCCTTAACAGAGTGTTGGGGCAAGTGCTGTTAGCGAGCAACTGTTGAAGGCCGGCACGGTACGCATGGCGGTGGGTGGCCAGTACCACGCCCGACCGCCTTTGTCTTCCCAGTGGCGATGTTTACACACCGCACCAGGCACTAATTTGAGGCTGAGTCGACCCAGGGGAGGCCCAGGACCGGTACAGGTATTTGTCACCCATGTTGGCTGTGAGCGGGAATAGAAATCAGCTCGCTGAGTTCGTAGCGCAGCGCGCTAACCGCTGCACACTCACACCGACCGGGCTGCGTGGCACACACACTCACACACACGTATGCACGTGCACACACTCACACGTATGCACGCGCACACACTCACACAACACGCTCACGCACGCCCAATTAACAGGACGCCCTTTATCACGATTACGCATTAAAATGCCCGCGCCATCCTCCCATGCGCAATTACGCATTTGTGGCTGCGTGCGTGCCGGCGTGCCGGTCGGAGACCCCCCCCCCCCAGCCCCAAGGTGAGTGCGGCTCGTCGCCTGCACGCACGCACGCGTACGTACGTACCTGTGGGGTGCCTCCTCGGCGTGGCTGTGCGTGGCTTCTGGTGTCTCCCCTCCGTCCTCCTGCGATGAGGAGGGGACGATGATGATGAGCGGTCGGGATGGAGAAGCCGCGCGGCGACGTAGACGCCCTTGACTCGCCCTTCCCGGCGACAGATCGATGCCTGTGGTCCCTCGGCAGGACGGACGGACGGACTGGGGTAGGAGGACGGGCTCTGCTGGGCTGTGGCTGCTGCGCTGGCTGGAGCTGCTGGTATTGCTGCTGGCTAAAGACTGACAGACGGACGGGGACCGCACAAGGCTGTTGGGGTTTTTGCGCCAGGGGGTGGTGGCGAGGTGGGTGGGTGGGAAAGTCCAGAGCGCAGATGAATACCGAGGGGCGCTGCCTTACAGCTCCCGATGCCTTCCCGACTGCAGTGAGACCCGCCCGGAATATTAATGCTCCATATGTATGAAGAAGGAAGCGTCTTCTCTTTAGCGCCGCGTGCACGATGGTCCGCACTGGCCGACGGTCGCGGGCGGGGAGTGCGCCGCTCCGCACGACGGAGCGAGCAGGGCGCAGGAACAGCAGGGAGCTCCGAGCCGCCCGCACGCGGTCTCCTCCCGTGCCGCCACCCCGGCGTGCTGCTCCTCCACGCGCTCCGTCTGCGCGTGATGCATAGCGGGTGGGATGCGTGCTGCCTGCCGATTCATCATCATCACTTCATCACACGGGGGCGAGGGATGGGGGACGGCTGGGTGGTGGTGGTGCTGCTGCTGGTGGTGGGGTAGGAGGAGGAGGAGTTGGTGGGTGGGGTGGTTGGGATGATCATGATGATGCTGGTACTGCCGCTGTTAGGAGTGCGGGAGCGAGACAGTGGGATGCTGCCGCAGCGCACTGTGATGTGATGACTGCATTCGTGCCCCATAAATTAATGGGCGGATTTACTGGCCTCTTGTCTGCACGGATGGATGATGATGAGGCATCTTCCCGGCTACTTTAGCTGGTGAGCTGTTATTGACTTAAGAGGAAACAAAACGACAATGAATATGCTAAGAATAAATACACACACACAAGCTTTACCGCATCCCACCTTCACATACTCTTTCATGAAGCAAGCAAATACTTTTTTTGTAATTTGCACTGCTCATTTATATGTTATTCGGTTTTATATAGGCTCATAGATGGAATATAATGGGTTCATGAATATTTCCACAAATGTACAATTTGCTACTAAACAGACCCCCACTGTTAGGAAATGTATTTCTTCCCCAGCATCTTGCAATCCAGCAGCATTTGTTTAAGAGGCCTGACTGCTGATGAGACGAAGAAAGTAGAAACCCGTCCAAGGTTTGCCTAGAAATACAATGCTTTCGAAACGCATTCGTCCACAACGCCTATAAACGGATATATTAAAGTGCTTTTGCTTTATTTTATGGACTTGACTGGTTATTGTAGAATATAAACACGCACAACGCAGTTTTCAATAATACTCATTATTATTATTGGGGTCACGGTTGTCAATTTTACGTGGCGTGGGGTGGCCTTCGTCCAGCGGTGGATGGACAAAAGGCTTCAAGTTATATTTGTGCGTCCTCAAATTTCCACAGGAACACTGAAAACATGTATGCAGGCCGTGTGTATGTTTTTGGGGTCAAGGATAGGTCAACATAAACGTGTATTTTCAATCGCACCTTTCAAATTAGCAATTTTTCATCAAAATTCATCCATTGCGAGTAAGGTAAATGATTAAAACATGCTCTCCCTTTGCTTTCACATTCGTTTGTCATGAACAAGCATCCCCTTTCATCTGAAAATACAGAATCTTCTGTTTTTGTAAGTTTTCATTCGCATATTAACATCTAAGTCCATAAAAAAAAGTGTGTCAAGTCGCCGCCTGTGTGCCCTTACACAAGGGCACGATAATGTCCGGCGTGTTCGCTTCACGATTTAAAAATTGGGCGGGAAATAGTTATATCGATTCACGCAAACACGCTTTAAACCCGTAGAACATTAAGTCTTTCACAAACGCAGCCTGGAGCCATGGACACAGAGCGACACTGCACAGCGGAGTTCGAGTGCCCCCTATCGACCGAACAGACGAGGCACAACACGAATCGGCGATGTTTTGTTGTAGTCGCTCTGTGTTGCAGCACCAGCAGCAGCAAGTCTCGCACGAAGCAAGGGCAACATTGGTGTAAAATCCGGTGGCAACACGTTGAAAAACAGAGATATGTGACACGGTGTGCCATTGAGGTTACGGAATGTGTACTGGTTTCTTTTTAAATGAAAAATTCCACGTTCCTATGGAATAACGCGTGCCGGGGAGTCGATAACAGCGGTTTGTAAATTAATAAACACTTTCGCGAATTCCGTATTAATTACCAGTGCAGGTTCACGCTTGCAATATCATTAGCCCGCGAAGCTAAAGTTGTCCAGGAGATAAATTAATGAATCCATCTGTGCGGGAATTTGAGTGACCTCATCTCGGAGTGGGATTTCTCCAAAGACAAAGATCCCCCGTGTAGCCTTAACAGACTGTAGGGGCAAGTGCTGTTAGCGAGCACCTATGAAGGCCGGTAAGGGTACACGAGGGTGGTGGGTGGCCAGCACCACTCCCGGCCGCCTTTGTCTCCCCAGTGGCGATGTCGACTACACACATCGCACCAGGTACTCATTTGAGGCCGAGTCGACCCCAATGCCCTCCCACAACGGTGCACTCGCACGCACTGAAACAAAAACAAACAGCTGGCCCAAACACAAAACAAAAACATGACCCTCTTTAAAAACAACAACAACAAAAAGGAGACATTCAACTCGGTGAGGGGCTTTGCCGTATTAACACCCCCCCCCCCACCGCACGTGATGACACCACCAATGCACATAAGATTCACAAATCGACAAGCAAGTTGCTTGATAATGCCACGCGACCATCTGGAGGTTAAATTTTAAAAAAACCTCTGTGACTGGCATCGCGTCCGCGCCTTCAACCGCCGGGGGATGCCCCACGTGGTGCGTTGCGGGATGGGGGAGGGCGGGGGGCGGGGGGTGGGGGAGGGGGCGGGCGGGGGGGGGTGGGGGAGGGAGGGGTGGGGGAGGGGGCGGGGTGAGAGGGCGGGGGCTGGGGGAGGGGGCGGGGTGAGAGGTCACGCGGCCTGTAGCCACCAGCCACAGGCCCACTACGACCACGGCAGCGGGCGAACCTTCTGTGGTGCGAAAGTCGCCTTAAACGACAGCGAAAGTTGCGCGTCGCGTCTCGTCTCGTTTTGTTCGTGATGAAGATGGTCGCAGTTTCCCCCTCGACTTAGCCGCGGCGCGAGAGAGCGCAGACCAAGTGCAGCGCGGTGAGTTGGTGGCTGATGAGTTGGTGAGTTGGTGGCTGATGGCGCGTCAAGGGGGCTGGAGCAGTCTCCTCGTGTTCAATTATCTCTCTCTTAGTGTTTAATTATCTCTCTCTTAGTGTTTAATTATCTCTCTTAGTGTTTAATTATCTCTCTCTTAGTGTTTAAACTCTCTCAGTGTTTAATTATCTCTCTTAGTGTTTAATTATCTCTGTTTAATTATCTCTCTTAGTGTTTAATTATCTCAGTGTTTAATTATCTCTCTCAGTGTTTAATTATCTCTCTGTTTAATTATCTCTCTCTTAGTGTTTAATTATCTCTCAGTGTTTAATTATCTCTCTTAGTGTTTAATTATCTCTCTTGGTGTTTAATTATCTCTCTCTCTTAGTGTTTAATTATCTCTCTTAGTGTTTAATTAACTCTCTCTCTTAGTGTTTAATTATCTGTCTCTTAGTGTTTAATTATCTGTCTCTTAGTGTTTAATTATCTGTCTCTTAGTGTTTAAACTATCTTAGTGTTTAATTAACTCTCTCTTAGTGTTTAATTATCTCTCTTAGTGTTTAATTATCTCTCTCTTAGTGTTTAATTATCTGTCTCTTAGTGTTTAAACTATCTTAGTGTTTAATTATCTCTCTCTTAGTGTTTAATTATCTCTCTTAGTGTTTAATTATCTCTCTCTTAGTGTTTAATTATCTCTCTTAGTGTTTAATTATCTCTTAGTGTTTAATTATCTCTCTCTTAGTGTTTAATTATCTCTCTCTTAGTGTTTAGTTATCTCTCTCTTAGTGTTTAATTATCTCTCTCTTAGTGTTTAATTATCTCTCTCTTAGTGTTTAAACTCTCTTAGTGTTCAATTATCTCTCTTAGTGTTTAAACTCTCTTAGTGTTTAATTATCTCTCTCTTAGTGTTTAATTATCTCTCTTAGTGTTTAATTATCTCTCTTAGTGTTTAATTATCTCTCTCTTAGTGTTTAATTATCTCTCTTAGTGTTTAATTATCTCTCTTAGTGTTTAATTATCTCTCTCTTAGTGTTTAAACTCTCTTAGTGTTCAATTATCTCTCTCTTAGTGTTTAAACTCTCTTAGTGTTTAATTATCTCTCTCTTAGTGTTTAAACTCTCTCTTAGTGTTTAATTATCTCTCTCTTAGTGTTTAATTATCTCTCTCTTAGTGTTTTATTATCTCTCTCTCTTAGTGTTTAAACTCTCTCTTAGTATTAAATTATCTCTCTTAGTGTTTAAACTCTCTTAGTGTTCAATTAACTCTCTCTTAGTGTTTAATTATCTCTCTCTTAGTGTTTAAACTCTCTCTTAGTGTTTAATTATCTCTCTTAGTGTTTAATTATCTCTCTTAGTGTTTAATTATCTCTCTCTTAGTGTTTAAACTCTCTTAGTGTTCAATTATCTCTCTCTTAGTGTTTAAACTCTCTTAGTGTTTAATTATCTCTCTCTTAGTGTTTAATTATCTCTCTCTTAGTGTTTAATTATCTCTGTTTAATTATCTCTCTCTTAGTGTTTAATTATCTCTCTTAGTGTTTAATTATCTCTCTCCTAGTGTTTAATTATCTCTCTTAGTGTTTAATTATCTCTCTCTTAGTGTTTAATTATCTCTCTCTTAGTGTTTAATTATCTCTCTCTTAGTGTTTAATTATCTCTCTTAGTGTTTAATTATCTCTCTCTTAGTGTTTAATTATCTCTCTCTTAGTGTTTAATTATCTCTCCTAGTGTTTAATTATCTCTCTCTTAGTGTTTAAACTCTCTCTTAGTGTTTAATTATCTCTCTTAGTGTTTAATTATCTCTCTCTTAGTGTTTAATTATCTCTCTCTTAGTGTTTAATTATCTCTCTTAGTGTTTAATTATCTCTCTCTTAGTGTTTAATTATCTCTCTCTTAGTGTTTAATTATCTCTCTCTTAGTGTTTAATTATCTCTCTTAGTGTTTAATTATCTCTCTCTTAGTGTTTAATTATCTCTCTCTCTTAGTGTTTAATTATCTCTCTCTCTTAGTGTTTAATTATCTCTCTTAGTGTTTAAACTCTCTCTTAGTGTTTAATTATCTCTCTCTTAGTGTTTAATTATCTCTCTCTTAGTGTTTTATTATCTCTCTCTTAGTGTTTTATTATCTCTCTCTCTTAGTGTTTAAACTCTCTCTTAGTATTAAATTATCTCTCTTAGTGTTTAAACTCTCTTAGTGTTCAATTAACTCTCTCTTAGTGTTTAATTATCTCTCTCTTAGTGTTTAAACTCTCTCTTAGTGTTTAATTATCTCTCTCTTAGTGTTTAATTATCTCTCTCTTAGTGTTTAATTATCTCTCTTAGTGTTTAATTATCTCTCTTAGTGTTTAATTATCTCTCTCTTAGTGTTTAAACTCTCTCTTAGTGTTTAATTATCTCTCTCTTAGTGTTTAAACTCTCTCTTAGTGTTTAATTATCTCTCTTAGTGTTTAATTATCTCTCTTAGTGTTTAATTATCTCTCTCTTAGTGTTTAAACTCTCTCTTAGTGTTTAATTAAACTCTCTTAGTGTTTAATTAAACTCTCTTGGTGCTTAATTAAACTCTCTCTTGGTGTTGAATTAAACTCTCTTGGTGTTTACATCAACTCTCTTGGTGTTTAATTCAACTATCTTGGTGTTTAATTAAACTATCTTGGTGTTTAATTAAACTCTCTTGGTGTTTAATTAAACTCTCTTGGTGTTTAATTAAACTCTCTTGGTGTTTAATTCAACTATCTTGGTGTTTAATTCAACTATCTTGGTGTTTAATTCAACTATCTTGGTGTTTAATTCAACTATCTTGGTGTTTAATTCAACTATCTTGGTGTTTAATTAAACTATCTTGGTGTTTAATTAAACTATCTTTGTGTTTAATTAAACTATCTTGGTGTTTAATTCAACTCTCTTGGTGTTTAATTCAACTCTCTTGGTGTTTAATTCAACTCTCTTGGTGTTTAATTCAACTCTCTTGGTGTTTAATTCAACTCTCTTGGTGTTTAATTAAACTATCTTGGTGTTTAATTCAACTCTCTTGGTGTTTAATTCAACTCTCTTGGTGTTTAATTCAAATCTTGGAGTTTAATTAAACTCTCTTGGTGTTTAATTAAACTCTCTTGGTGTTTAATTCAACTATCTTGGTGATTAAACTCTCTTGGTGTTTAATTAAACTATCTTGGTGTTTAATTCAACTCTCTTGGTGTTTAATTCAACTATCTTGGTGATTAATTAAACTATCTTGGTGTTTAATTCAACTCTATTGGTGTTTAATTAAACTCTCTTGGTGATTAATTAAACCATCTATGTGCTTAATTCAACTCGCTCTTAGTGCTTAATTCAGCCCTCGGTGTTTAATTAAACTATCTTGGTGCTTAATTTAACTATCTTGGTACTGAATTCAACTTTCTCCTGGTGTGTAATTAAACCCTCATGAAACCCTTATGGTGTTTAATTAAATTGCTAGTATTTACGTACTGATGCATTATTGATAAGAGGGCTTTTTTGGATTAGATCGCGTAAATGTATAAATGTGTCGTTAAAACCCGCCACCGCCCGACACAGCCAACTAGTGAGGGTTGTCACGTAAACGGAACGTGGCCAATTCGTCACTAGTACAGCACACCGGTGTGTTGGAGAGCCAAGCCACAACATTTACAATCTGAGTACCTCTTATGGATATTGGTCGCGAAATAAATTGATGCATTATTCACAGGTACATCTTCATAAATTGAAATATTAAAAGACAAGGCACTGGGGTGCGATTGTGGCCATGCAACCCAAACTATGGATCATAAAGGAAACCCATAGGGATACCATAGAGATACATTCACTCATTTCTTTCCAACTGATTTTTATGTGTAGTTGCCTTTCGCCCGCACCCCCGATTAGCACGGTTTGGTTACGTACGGTGCGAACGAAGTTCAACACACATAGATAGAGGCTCGTAGCGATACGAAAGACTCATAGAGATACATAGACACAATTGGAAGACGAGCCACACTCGTGCGATTGTGGCCATTCAATCCGAACGTTGGGCCATAGGGTAAAACCACTGTAGTCCACGCTCCTCCAACGGAAGAGGAACAGCAAAACTCGACGAATTCCATCCTTGAAGCCCTCTCGTCGTGGCGAGCGGACCTCGACATTGGCGTCTAACTCCTGACCATATTTTCAGGTTCAGTTTCAGTTTATTTATTTTGGTATAGCCCTGTGAGCCATTCGGCTCTTGAATCGGGTGCAACCACAACAAACAAAAAAACATGAACAAGAAAAAACATCTTAAAGTGACTATGTGACTGTGCAAACAGAAAATCCATGGAAAAAAACCCAGCAAAATATTCCTGAAAAAAGCACCGTACACCAACGCTGTGTGCAAAAAATCCCAGTGGGATGCAAGTCAAAACAACAACCACAAGAAAACTTGCCAAATGAAATTAAACACCAAGATAGTTGAATTAAACACCAAGATAGTTGAATTAAACACCAATAGAGTTGAATTAAACACCAAGATAGTTGAATTAAACGCCAATAGAGTTGAGTTGAATTAAACACCAAGATGGTTTAATTAAACACCAAGATTTGAATTAAACGCCAAGAGAGTTGAATTAAACACCGAGGGCTGAATTAAACACCAAGACAGTTGAATTAAACACCAAGATAGATTGCCAAATGAAATACAACATTGAACATTCACATACGTCAGGCCGCTTGGTTAATCCGTGGTGTCACTTAAAATATAGACAGCCTCTTTTGTAAAATACATATTAAAGACGTTAGAATTATTCTTAATATGTGATCAACAGCATTGCTCACCATTGTGATCAAATTCACCATGACCACGGTCATAATAACCTTGGTCACCGGAATATGATCGTCAAAGAGCGTTTTCATCATCGTCAATATGGTGATGTCAAGGATCTTGAGCATCGATATCATTGTGGGAATGAAACGTTCCTGTCAACACCGTGAGCGGTGTATTGAGCACCAGCTGGAGAGTGCCGTCCGTGGTACAAATAAGTCGGCGAATGCGAAATTTGCACTTGTGTGTGAGGACCAGCATCATTATAACACATCACTTCCACTGTGATAAACATGCCACTTGAAACCCCCCGTGTATTTGTGTGGGATGGGAAAAGTAGTTCGGTGGGGAGAAGGCTTCACTGCTCTGCTGTTTAGACGAGACAAAGATGTTCCCTTGTTACATCCATTTACAAGCACGGCATCATCCTTGTGCATTGCACATTCCAAAAAAATTATGGACTGGCCTCATGCAAGAGGGTGGGTGAATTAGGAGTGTCGCAGTCCCCACGTGAGCAATGTAAATGTATAATTAAATCACGACGAGCAGTGTGGCGTCTTTAACCGATTACAATTGGTCCGGGCGGGGAACGCAGTCTCAGAGCAATAACGCAAAGAGGGTACGCACTGTCTCCGGCTGAACGGACTTGATAGTATGGCCTTTGAGGTTTATGGGTCACTTGGGTCAACAAATAGATCAAATGCTTCTCGGTATTAATGTTTATATATGTACATACTGCATTATATATGCAGCATGCAGGATACTTGATATTAACTCATGTATGATCATCTTTCGATGGCATTAAGCACTGCAGACCATGGGATGTTATATATAAGTTGGATAATTCTACAGTGCTCCACATTGCAATTTCGTGTGTCAGTTGGTGTATAAAACCTTTATTATGAATAATATTGGTCGCAAAAGCCTACGTGTTAAACTCAGTTGGTGTATTGTTGACTTGCCAGTAGTGTCGCGCTTAGTGCGCTGCACTACGAACCCGGCGACCCAAGTTCGATACCCACTCACAGCCAGCACCAGTGACGATTATTCTGAACCGTCCTGGGCCTCCCCTAGGTATACTCTGCCTCAAATGAGTACCTGGTGCAGTGTGTAAATAATTCCACTCGGGAAACGAGGGCGGCCGTGTGTGGTGCTGGCCACCTACCCTCTCATGTGCCGTGCCAGCTTCATAGGTGCTTGCCAACAGCACTTGCCCCAATGTCTAAGGCTATACGGTGGATATTCATCCTTATATGTGTGTATGTTGAATGTCTTTCGCACCGTACATAGGCAGCCGTGCTAATTGTCTTTGTGCACTTGCCACAGCTGAGTCAAAATGCCGACCACGGTGCTCCTGGATGCATCACTGTCGATGGTGCGGCCCTCCGGTGGCACCAACGGGTCTGGTGTAGGTGCCGAGGAAGAGCAGCAGAGGAAGCATCTGGCAGCCCACGGTGTCCGCATTCTGCTGGATCACCTGGCCACACACTACCGGCTTGAGTTTACCTCCCTCCTCGCCTTTTCCTCCGTCTGCAGAATGATTGTACCCTTTACACGAGACTACAGCTCCCTGCAAGTACGTTTGGATGCTTTAATTCTGGCTTTTGTTGTTGTTGTTGCAATATTGGTCTACATGCTTGGTACGGAACATTACTAATGTATGAGGTGAGTGAAAAGTACCCTTGATTGCAGCTGTGAAATAACTATGCGTGTGACACTTTTCAGGAGGGACTGAGCACAGTCGAAGACCAAGACAAAACATGTTTAGAGGCTGCACTTAAAACCGTGAGCACAATCGTGCAGGAAGAGTGGGGAGTTGGTAGCATCTGCCAGGTGATGATAACATTTGGTGACATTTTTGTGACATGCATCAAGGTTAATTTTGGGGTTGTGTTTTTGTTAAACTCTATTAATTTGAGAATAGGTTTTTCCCCTTTTATCTGGTATCTATTAATTTGTTATTGAAGATTAAACTGCAAGCTAAATGTTGCCCTGCTCGAGTTAATTCATTTCGTTTTCAGCATGAAAATATTTCATGTGAAGTGCCCAAATATGCAGTGTATGAGATTATGCTATTGTGTGTGGTGAACAGGTGGTGTTGGTGACAGATGGCTGCATGGGTATTGGCAAGGGCTCCCTGAGGCAGTCATTGGCCTCTCTGGGACAGCGTGGTGACGATCGTGCCTTCCCCCTCCCATTCCCCTTCCCCTCTAAGCTATACATAATGTGTATTGCCACCCTGGAGGAGGTGAGCAGTATATAGACCATGTAAGAACAAAAGTGAATCTTATTGGATGCGTAGGCTAACACTTGTCTCTAAAATCAAGTGGTAAAACCATGTGCAGCTGAAGTTTTTTTTTTTTGTCACCATCGTCATCTGCAAAAAAAATGCGCCAGTTATGTAAATGCTGTGAAAATGATTTCCATTGGGATAGAGTAGCAACCTTGTTTTATGATGTAATTAGCACTGTATTAGTTAGAATTATTTTACTATAAGGTGGACACATTTTACCCAAGGTAATTATATCGGTGGCAGGGTGCTGCAGTGCTAACACTTGTGTCTCACAGCAAGTAGTTCCTAAGTTCTATTCCTGATTCGGGTGCCTTTATGTGTGGAGTTTGTATATTCTCTCCCCTGTTCTGCATGGGTTTTGCTCCGGGTTCTCAGGTTTCCTTCCATTGCTAAAATAAACATACAATATATCTGGTATTGGCCAAACATCTAAATGCTGAAATATTACCTTAAATTATTCCATTAGGATTACATAAATATCAACATTACTCCCTTAAAAGATAATCTTGAGCCTCGGTGAGACTTTTCTAGGTAAACAAATGTAGTTACGATAAAATATCAATGTTCATGCAAACTGCGTCTCAGCGCTGTCGTATATGTCACGCACAGTTTTTGCAAAGGCGCGTGAAGCTACAGACAAGCGGGAAGGAGCCAGAATTGGTCCTAACAACTTCCCAAGCTCTGTGGTCCTATATCGGGATGTTTGGCCAACTGCATTCATGAGTGTTTATGCATGCAGGAGAAAACCCGTGCATGCCGATGAAATGCAGATATTATAAATTAGCTTAATGTACTGAATGTCCTTGGGTTGGCAGTTTCACTCAAAAGTGCTGTAGTACAGGTGGGCGCCATCATAATAAGACATCACCTCTTAGATTCTGATCTCATCTTTTATTTTGTGCAGCTGGCCCAGGGCTCTCTGGAAAACCTACAATGGTTGGTGGACCGGAATGGTGGGCACGGCAAAGTGTTTTATATGGAGGGTCCCCTTTCCACCAAAAATATGCAGGTCATGTTCAGGTAAGCATTACGTTTATTATAGTTCGTTCGTTTCTCAGTCCGCTTGTCCTGGTGAGGGTCGCGCGGTGGCTGCGCGTTGAGAAGGGCAGTATAGACCTCCCTTTCCCTGGCGAAAGACTCTAGCTCTTCATGGGGAATTCCTAGGCGTTCGCAGGCCAGCTGAGCGACATAGTTCTGCCAGCGTGTCCTGGGCCGGCCCCGGGGTCTTCACCCAGTGGGACGTGCACGGTAGAGTTCCAGGGGAAGTCTACCGGGGGTCATCCTTACCTGGTGCCCGAACCACCTCAGCTGGCTCCTCTCGATGCGGAGGAGCAGCGGCTCGACTGAGGCTCTCCCGGATTACCGAGCTCCTCACCCGATCACAGAGGGTGAACCCGGCAACCCTACGGAGAAACCTCATTTTGGCCCCTTGTATCCGCGATCTCATCCTTTCGGTCATTACCCAAAGATTATGACCATAGGTGAGGAGGGTGGGAACGTAGATCGACCTGTAAACCGGGAGTTTTGTTTTGAAAATTCAGCTCCCGCTTCATTACCATGGAACGGTATTGCCTGCCACACTGCAGCCGCCGCGGTGATCCGCCGGCCGATCTCCTGCTCCCACTTACCATCACTCGCAAAAGAGACCCCGAGGTACTTAAACTCCTCCATAATTGGCTGTAAAATGCCTGGGACCTCATGTTTTTTAATTTACAAAGGTGTGATAGAATAGGCTGTTATATTTTTGGTGCAGCCATTACTCGACATGTTGGCTGATATACGAATGGCCTGCACTCTTACTGCCACTGACATTAGACGCTGCAGAATCATTGGATCAATTTATTTAAGCAGATGTGTTTTTTGGAAATGTTTTCAGTGATGAATACTTTTTTGTGAAAATGCAAAAATAACAGCATCCAAAGGCAGCCTGCCATTTTACTGCTTGAATGTATTGAGTACATGGATATCCTGTACCAAAAGCATATTTTTATTTAAAAAAAGAGAAATTACACAAACAATTGTGAAAAAAATTGGCATACAAAAGGGAACTTTTAAAACAAAGTTCTAAAGCTCTAATATTCAATGAGTCCATCGAATTATATTTTTGTTATAAAATGGTTGAATTAATTTGTAACTGTAGATTGCTTGTATTCTGTGCATAGAGTTATATTGAATTGACTGTTCATCTATTTTAATTGACACCCGGAGATAATCTATACGGTTATAAATTAGGTTATTTCAAAATGTAGTCCACTTCCATTTTTGAGGACCTTACTCAAATAAAGGAGGTCCCTAACGTTTTCCAGGGGGAAAAAAATACTATTGTACAAACATGAACATCTGTGTGCTGACAGCAAATTGATAGAGCAGGGATATTCATCATTCCACACGGTCCTGAAGTGCGGTCACCTGGCATCAGAAGCGCAGATTTTTCCACGCCCAGAGCCAGTCCTTCAGGAAGAAGAGGGAGATACAAGGAACATCCTGCCTGGTGAGCCAGCTGATTTTATTATTCACGTGTTACAAACATTATCTTCTTCACGTTTATCTTTTCTACAAATGGCTTATTTCAGTCAATAAATACTTGAGCAGTTTAAGAAAAGTTGCATGGCAAATTGAGTGCAAAAAGAGATCATTCTCAATATATATAAAACTATGCCTATTTTTCTTGAGTTGATCGTAGATCATCGATTATCTGGCGGCTTCGGGGGGGAAGGGGGGTGCCGGATTATCGCATCATGATTTAAAATAGCTTATGTTTGCACATTCTTGCATCACATGTTTTTAGGCGTCTATATTTTTTTTGTTTTAAATTTGTTTACTATGTGAAATTTGCATAAACATACAAATAGACGAACAATAAAACTCCTTCTGTAATAAGCTACTGTATTTACTGTACCGTACTTACCACTCCAATCTCGAAGACTCTGCATGGGGCGATGTTCGTACTACGCTCTTGTCTCAACATGTTGGACGATCGCAGGACTGATGCGAACGCCGATTTACACGCACTTTTCGCTGGATTGCACTGCATATTGTTTGTAATACTGCAGTTATTAGACATGAAAAATGTATATACGTGCAGTGTTTTCATCAAGTTGTATGCAGTGTATAATGTACTGCATGTAATATTTGACACACAAGTCAAGCATAGCTATTTTTTTTCTGGTCTCGCATGGTGCAGATCGCCGCGGTTTTACCGGTTCAGCTCGGGACCGCCGGATAACGTCGGAAGCCAGATAATCGATGATCAACTGTATACAAGTGATCTCGCCATTTAGTTTCTTCATGGTTTTCATGGCAATGTAACTGCGTTCCATTGTGTTTCTTTTTCTTTCAGAAATACAGATTGTGGGCTTCCTGGACATTAACGATGTGTGCAGCCCTCCCGTTATCTCTCGCCACCTGGTGCTGCCAATTGGACACAGTAAAGGTGGGCCGTCTGGACTTGGGCTGCTGATGCACTTGGCAATTACAGAATACATAAATATTATTGGATTAAAAGTAATGCAGACCAGTTATAACCACTTCTGTGGTTAAATGTATGGCATTGAAGGCATTTTTCAAAACTATGAAATTATAGGAAGATATGCATTGCTGTTTATAACATACACACACATTAAATGTGGTACTGTAATCAGCGTGTGCAATATGGAGTCACATTTCGTAATACATTTTAGGTTTTAGTTTGATACATATGGTGTTTTAAATTTAAAATTGTGGTAAACTGCAACAGTATTTGATTCAGCATTTACAGAGGACAAACTGAAATTCTCCAAACTGCAGAGTCAGAGGATGGTGGGGCAGGTGGCGTAGAGGAAACTGATGAAGACCCAAGTGCTCAGAACGCTGGCAAGAGGCCGTCTTTCTGTGTCCTCCTGCACGGTAGCCTCAAGGTGGAAGGCATGGTGGCCTTGGTGCAACTTGGGTGAGTTGTCAAGTCAAAAACAAGCTGGAAAGCCAGTCTATTAAGAGGGCCTCCATGACATTTTTTTACAAATATAAATGTTGCACACTCGAAATGAAGGACGTTGGGCAGGTGCTCCAAATCGAGGGCAAACACATTTATTGTGGTTAATCTGTAGAATGCAACAGCACGTGTGTCACACACAGCAATCTTCACCGAGTCGCCATTAACCACGTGACTGGTGTACACGTCCGGTTAATCATTAACAGTTTTCTCTTAAACACACTTCTACTACTAATAAACCATCCTTGTCTTTGACAATAACATTTGCACTTAACTATTCGAATATTACCTTAAACCTAAGCTGTATGTCTATCTATACCATCCACTTATATCGGCATCTTACACCCATTATATTTACTGTATGTGTACAGTATACATACTGTATTTGTCACCATTGTACAACTTACTACTTTACATGTGTTCTATTCTCAATTAGATTGCAAGTAGTCATACTCTGGGTGCATGGGCATGGTTATATAATAAACAGTATTAGCGTTAGAGAATTAAGAATTACAAGTATTAACTACAGTACGTCATCCTTTACGATGCACAGTGCTAAAACCCCTCCAATTGAATACATCACAAACTAACAATTCAAAGCCAAGCTTGAAGTCTAGAACATTTCTATAACGATCAAAAACAAACGTTGGGTCCTTTGCCTGTAGAATGCAACAGCACGTGTCACACACAGCAATCGTCACCGAGTCGCCATTAACCACGTGACTGGTGTACACGTCTGGTTAACCATTAACCCTGCCAGCCCCCCACAGGCCCAACTCAGTCATCACATGCTGGTGTACACACGTGCATTGATGTACTGCACAGCACATAAGGACTTATTAAAAGAGTGGTCCATTCCTAATGTGCCACGTAAAAGTTCCCTTTTTAATGTATTTCATGGATAATTTTGCCTAAAATATTTACACTAGGCATTTGTATGCTGAATGTTAAGATTTGTAGATAATTGTTTTGGGCTTATTTAATTTTTTTCTAAAAACAATTGTCCTTAGATGGTTGAATGAACATTTTTTAAAACTTTCAAAGGATTATCAATACATAGTCTAATGGCTAAAATGTCACAGCTTTGGATGGTTAGGATTTAGGTTCAACAACCAACCGTATTTTCCAAATTATGCTTGTATGTTGTGTGGTGTTAATTGCTTGTTTGTCCAGGCCGGCATGGTTCGGGATGCTATACTCGCAAGCTGACAGCAAAAAGAAGTCAAACCTGATGATGTCCGTTTTTGAACCTGGCTTGGATACCTTACCATGGCTGGGGAAATTCACACAGCTGGGCCCCATCTCTGGTGTGCAGTGCATTTTTACACAAATTGTATCAGGATAATTAGATAAGTATTACTGCCTCACTGCTGTGACGGCTCTGGTTAGATACGTGTCTTGTTTTCAGATTTCGCAGAAAACCCATATGGGGAGGATGACACTCGGACACCATTCCCCATGATCCCAGCCACAAAGCGCAGCTATGCTCAAAACGTTGTGGTGTGGATTAAGCAAGGTGGCCTCCAGGTGAGCCTACATTTAACATTCATTTCATTAGCATCGGTGTCACCATACTAAATGCATTGAAAATTGGAGATTAGAATGTCATTGTTGGATACAATTAAGTTCATGGATAAGGTCAAGTTTGATCATTTTTTTTCCAACAGACGGATGTGCAAAAGATTCTGAGAAATGCCAGGAAACTTCCAGAAAAAACACAAACCTTCTACAAGGTGGGGATAACACGAGGCAATTTACTATCCCGTTGGAATTCTCCTTACCAGGACGCTTGAGTAAACCATGGCGTTTGTGCTAATGTGGCACGTGCAGGAATTGAATCGGCTGCGCAAGGCTGCCCTGGCATTCGGCTTCCAGGACCTGCTGACCGGCGTAGCGGAGCTGCTGGAGCGGGAGTGTTCGCTGTTGCCCGAGAAGACGCATCCTGATGCTGCCTTCCAGCTCAGTCACGCCGCCAAGCAGCTGCGGAGGTCGGCTCGCTCGCGTTCTGAGCACGCTCGCTACGAGTGCACCATCGCGCCGCTCCGCACAAACTTCTCAGGGTGCAGCGCAGAATAGCGCAAGTAAGATGTCTTTCCAGGTGACAATATGAAATCACATTTTTATCTGAGTTGATTTATTCCTCGGCGTACAATACTTAGTGCAATGTTTTGGCCAGTGGTCAGCTATAAGCACAAGTTATGCAGACCTCATAGTTACAGGGCTACTACTCTATGATTTGGAAAACCTCATGGAAGAACTTTACTGCCTAACCAGGTTTTATTTTAGAAACCATCTTGATGTTTTCATGACATTGTTATTATTCCCAGTGCTGTTTTGTACACAGTATGTGGTTGACCACCACCATTTCTTCATCGATTTTGTGTGATGTCTACAAGAATCACAAGCTCCTGGCATAATGCTCTTTCTCCCATGAGGAATAGATGCACTGTAACGCAGTGGTGCCTTGGCCTTTGACAAAATACGGCATGATATGCAGCCCTTCTGACCAGGAGCCAGTTAGTCTGTAACGATCACTTCTGGATCGTCTCCCCATTTGGCCTTTTCATTTTAAGCAATAAATTTAATGAATTGCTTTTATTAGCAATATACTAATCATTTTTTTTGTAATGTTATTATATGTGCTGTACAGGAATGCTTTTTCTTTTTTTTACCAGTTTCATACTAATGGTTAGGAATTTAGCTGAATGTGACATATGTTTGATCAATAAATTTAATCTCAAAATGGTAAATGAAAACGTCTCCATTCAATATCGAATGACGTCCTGTGTGATCATATCAATACAATGTATTGGGATGTTATCAAACTTGACATCGGTTTCAGCATACAAGCTGTGCACTGTGTGCATGTTTATTTTCAACACTCCAAACCGACATGCACTCACATTCTAATATTTTTTTTAAATATTACGAAACTAACATTAAAAAGTGGTAACCACTTAATGTAACGGTCGTTAAGATATTACGTTCTAAAAGCATACACAAAATAATATATTATGAGTTGTACACAAACCATGCACATCAACATGTTGTGATAGTTATAAAAAGCTTAACGCTTTACCAGGGTAAAACGTAAACATGTAAAGGCCATGATAAACTAAGATATTGTCACTTATCTAAAATACTATTTTCGATTCAGTTAGTGTCTCATCAACAGCGTCTCTATACCTGTGGGCTCTTACTCTGCTGGAGCTGGAAAGCCCAGCTTCTTCGAGCTGTAACGGCTTTCATATGCACCCACGTCAAACTTGCGTTTGCAGCCTGCGTAGTTCATGTACCTGATCTTGCCGAAAACTGCGCGCTCAGCCCAGCCCTGGTCGTGTGTGCCACAGATGGACCACATGCAGCCTAGCAAAAAATCAAAATCATGAACGTGTTAAACTTGCCTTGCACGAAACCTAGCCAGGAAAGAGACACTTGCATGCATAATGTACAAATACAAGTTCTAGTGACAATAGCAGGTATAAAAGGTTTGGGAAAAATTAGAAGCACGTGTGCTAAATACTAGGAAAAACGAAAATCAGACTTATGCACATCCCGCACCTCCGATTAGCATGGTTGGCTACGTACAGTGCGAAAGAAGTTCAACAGACATCAATGATATCACGACAAGTTACTGCCATGCTGCTGTAAGATCATCGTAATCAGATTATATTGTACCTTTTATACGGAAAATTACGTGCACAAGCCAACTGTTACAAGGCGAAATTGAACAGCTGGAAGTGTCAACACAAAGCACTAAGCTGATATTTTTTTAGGATAAGTCACGTGTCATTTGGTGTGATATTTCTTTCCATGTTTTGGGAGCTACATTAACTAAATGGAGCAGCTTCGGTTCTCCGTCGTTTATATAAAGTTGGCAGCTGCTACTGGAAGTTTGATTTAGGCTGGCCTATGTTATTTATGAACTTCGTCGGGTGTGCTTACATGCTCATTACTTGTGAATGTGGTGAAACCATAAAGCTCATCATCGTCCATACCAGGGTGATAGCACACTGTGAAAGGTCCATTAACAGCACATGGAGAGAAATGGACATGCCGAATACCATGTGGTACAACTCGACATCAGATAAATAAACGGCGCAACCATAAAACCTACACAGTGGTATTAGGTGTTTGCATTTACCAACGTAGCCGTTTGGGTCACTTCCATCCAGCTGGTAGCGGTCGTTGAGATAGATTGCAATGCGGAGGGCCTCCTCTGGGGAGCTCGTCCACTCCAGGATTTTCTTCGCCCAGTACATGCGCATAAACCCATGCATCTTTCCTTCAACTACCATCTGCAGCTGTTACCATCAAACAAAACAGATTGCTCCAGTTACAGATGCACCGGGATTAAAGAAAAGTGCCAATAAACAGAAATGGGCATTCAGACACTGAACTGTACCTGCGCTGCATTCCAAAGTGGGTCGTGAGTTTTAGCTTCTTCCAGTTGCTGCAGAGAATAAATGTATTCTCTGTTGTCCTGTGTATGAGCATCCAGGGACCTTTTAGCCCAGTCATATGCCCCTAAACACAATTACAATCGTTGGTGAACAAGTTAGAAATTCGTCGAAACGGTACATGCAGAATTTGAAGCAATACATGGAAGGTAAAATTATGTTTCAGTGACAGCTGAAGTGCACACACCATCTAGACTGTCATAATTTTTGTTGTAGAAGCAGAAGTTGTCACCAAGTTCCCGTCGCACGATTGCCTCTTCAATGTACATGTCAACAGACTCGCGGTACTTGGGTTTCAATTTACTGACCTCAAGAGCACACCTCTGAACGGAGATCTGACCTACACACAAAATGTTACAAGGAGGCATTTTATTATGAATAAGCAGTCATGTTGAAAGCTGCACATCATCACCACGAATACATAAAGTTATTTATTTTGATACTTTTTATTTCAATTATTTGTTTTTGTAAAGATTTTATTGAAAATGTTTAGCAGCATTAGAAGCACCTTTGTGCAATAATGTATAATGACATTCGGCTGACGAGACAAAATGACTGTCATTTCGTTGCCAAATATGTGTTGAGGGAGGGAAATGTTCAAACTGCCACATAAAAGCTACTAAAATATGTAGTTGTTCACTTGAATGCATATGACACTAAGTCTGCTGCTGAGGGACTTGCTCTGCGCACCAAAGTGAATCCACGGTGAGAGGTTGCTGAGTGCATTGCTGTTGGGGTTATTGCGATCTGTGCTGAACAGCTTCAGCCTCTCATTTATAAAGGAGTTGAGCATCTCCAGTCCCGCTGATGTGCCGGGCTGAGCCCACGCCACTTCGCCCACACTCCGGTCGACCTCCAACGACTGCCATGCCGCCTCCCAGTCTGTCTCCTGCAACACAGCAGCACATGACGTTCTTGGCAGCTCTGTCGCACACCTCTCACCGCACGTAGCTTTAACGTTATCTGGCGGCAGCTACGCACCCCGCGCACAATTCCCAAACAGATGTTTGCACCGACACGAGCGTCGTACTGAGCAGTATATTCAAGCTATGACTATTTATAACAAAGCACTGCAGAAATAAGTGGAATATCCACTCCTGGCTCAGCACCACCAATAAAGATGACCGAAGCACTGTGTGCTTGGTTAAAGGTGCTTTGATTAATTATTAGAATTGGGCCCACAATCTGCATCTTTCAAACTGTAATTTTAATATTGCAATGCAGAGGTCGCTGGTTAAATTTCCGGAATGGAATTAGAAACAATAGGGAAACTTTCTTAAATCCTCCCCACCGCTGTCCACCCAGCAATATAAATGTGAGTATACTAAAAACCATCGGCAGGTGGTGGTGTAAAGTGTGGTATTCCACCTCTTCCAAGACTTTTTGTCAGTTTGCAAGAGTAAGCCAAATACCCTCTTCCAGCAGTGGCATGAGCAGGAAATTTCAGGGCTGCACTGTAAAATTAATTATGCTACGATTATGTTTACATATATACACAATAACAAATGAACCCCCCACCGGTTTGGCAAGCGTTCAAATTGAGATTGTCAATATGGACAATATCTGAATGTGACAAGTTACCTCTGGCAGGCTTTTGGCTGGATATGTGTGCTTAATCGCTGGAGGGAATTCAGTGAAGAACTGTGGCAGCTTGTCATGTATTTTCCTGCGAATCGTCCTCGCTCCGTATTCTAGTTTGTCTGACGTGACCCAGCACGGCACCACGTTGTGTGCATCCACCTGCAGAGTATACACACATTTGTCACAAAGCTAGGTCGGTCTCAATCAAAAAAGTAATCTTCATAGCCGAGCGTAGGGAAGGTGCTTGGGTGGGTATGTGCTCACTATGATTGTTATAGGGTACAGGGCTACATGGTGGGCAGGACATCCTGGTACAGAACCCTACTGAAAAAAGTGTCTTGACACTCAGTGATATTTTCATGGATAAATCAATAATATTGTTAATAGAATTTAAAGGTACAGTTAACAATGTATGCCAATTACAAAGTACAACCAGTACAGTTCATTGTATAGACACTTGCCTGTGCTAAAGGTACATTCTTTGGCAGAGCTTTCTTTAAGTCTTTCACCCACTGCCTGGGCACACGGAGAGGAAGGAAGTCTGTCACAACAGCACCAATATTCTTCTCATTTACGAATGGAGGAAGCACATCCTTGGCATAGCCTTTCAGGAGGTGAAAAGAGATGTCGAGGGAGCGGAACTCCTGGAAAAAAAAAGTGCCTTTTCATACATATGTAACTGTTCATGAAAATCAACTATTATAATAAATAATTTTACACATGACGTGCATTGAATTGTCCATGTAAGAATCTTAATTTGTTTTCACAATAGTTTTGTGCACATTTCCACTTTAAGCTAATGGTCACACGGAGACAAAATGTGAAAGTACGGACGAGAGTACAAACGAGACAAGACATTGAAAAAGAGACAGGGAAAGTACAAAACTACAAAAAAAAAGATTATTGAATCGTAAACCCAAATCGTGACAATTGAATTGCAAAATACTTGTATAGTTTATTAGTCTACTTACAAAAGACGAATGTTGTTTAAATAATATAGGCATCACAGATAAAGTTGAGTTTTATTCATCATAAAAAACTAACATTACTGAGAATGTCAGATGCAATTACACGTAATACATAAGCCATATTAATATGACTTGCGTGTACCTTTTCAACCTCTTGGAGGCCTCGAAGCATGAAGCCAAAGTGTCGAATAGTCGCATCCATAAACTTGGGCACCAGACAAAAGCAGACGTAGAGTGGAAGCCTCTGCTTTAGGGCCAGCCGCTGGGCATAAAGTAGTGCCCAGTTGTCTTCGTGAGAGGAAAGGTTCTTCGTTAAAAAAAACCCTTTCACATCTATCATTCACAGTGTCTCATAACAGAAAATCACATTTTGGGCAAGTGAAGAGGGTCTTTACTTAAAACAACTTCCCCCCGAAGAATCAAAGGAGGTATCTTAATTGATAAAGCTGTCGTTATAACTGGATTGTAAGTGGTGCACAAGCATATACCAGTAAAACCTTGGATTGCGAGCATAATTCGTTCCGGAAACGTGTTTGTAATCCAAAGCACTCGTATATCAGTTGTGATCGTGACGTAACTGGGTTATATCGACAGCAATTATCGCCCCCTACCGGCCGACTGTATCCATGTGAAAGTGCCTTCATGACAGCATATTTTCTATAAGAATGGTGCAATACTAAATGTATTTAATTATTATGAATGTATTGCTTTGTCATAAAGCAGTATACTCATGATGGTGAGTTTTTGTGCATGTTCAGTACACTCCTGCCGACACTATACCTTAAGTGTTAATATATAGTTCTCAACTAGGCTTCCTGAACATGCAGTTAGCCAATTAATCTGCAGCCTTGTGCATGTCACGTCCAAATATTTCAATTCAAATGTAACTTACAAAACCAACATTTATTTAATGTAAACAGCTGTAATGAATATACCTAATATTGGTCAGCAAATTATTGGCATTTTGTGACCCATTTATTTAAATGCAATGTTGAAGTACTGTAAAAAGGTAAGCAAGCCGAAAGGACATACCTTGAACACGCTGGTCACGTGACATCCAGTATAAGATGCCACTTGCGTTAGCGGCCATATCATCAGCATTAGACACAGCGCGTACCCTTTTCTTGTTGAAGCGGAACTCCAATACAGATGACGCCAAAGCTGCACGTGTTTTGGAAATCTGCTCTTCAAAATTTCCACTTCCTACCACATTCACCAACCACGAGGACAATTTAAACACAATCGTAAGTCGCGATAAGCACATGATTTCCCATCGTCAATTCGGAAATTAGTGTCTTAAATGCATTTATTAAAGTGTGTATGAAGTTTAATTCAACCTTTTGCTTACGTGGCTCATTTTAAACATGTCAATTCATCATATTTAGGACAAATTATTTGGTGAAACTATTGTAAGTGATGCACAAGCATAAATAAATAAAAATCTACATTGTCAATAATACTCTCTTACTCTTTGGGTCTTTTGGTAAAGTCACGTAGATAGAAAAACTATTAAATAATAAAAATCACTCAAATTCGATCGCAACACAAGCAATCGTCTTCACGTGAAAAAATACAGCAGGCAGACTGCTGAGGCAGGAAGAAATATATTATCAATAATGCTGCCTTAAAAAGAAAAAGTATATAATAGGCTACTCTTATGTGCTGTAAAGAAGAGCTATTGCAAAGAGGTGCTATTGCTCAAAGTACACCGACTAATGGTTGCCATATCTCCAGTGCACTTAGGTGGCCTTGGACATTGTTTCCGGTCACATTAGTTCACTCACTTTCAAAGTTAGTTCAGCTGAAACATTCACCCAGGTTCATGTCAGTTCACTGCATCCCTGGTTCCAGTAAACAAATAATTTCACACCACCTTCACACTTGCACACAATAGATCAAAATATAATTGGCTATCACATTATCCCCCACTGACTGTTAAAAATCACATTTTATTTCTGGCAAGTCACGGTAGAAAAGACTTGACAAGGCTAAACAAGACAAGTCAAATGGTTAATTGGGGTGATACTCTAGAGATGTGCAATCGTCTCATCAATGCATTTTTTAATTGCTGAAATATTGCTCATTAAATGAGCCCATAGGATACTTATTGTCAAGAAATATTACACATGTCCATCCATTTTTCAACGGTTTTACTTAACTTGACTCCTGTGTCGTGGTGAAATCTTGTAATCAAAATTTAGTCTACTTCCTGTTGTGCAATCAATTCCAAATTTTGCACAGTACTCAGATCCGGTGACAATGCATGCCTGTATTAAAATCAGCATCAATTAATTAATTGGCTCCTTTAAAGCAATTAATATTTTGTATGGACGCCTTATTATTAATATATCTTTGTGTGTAGGTCAAAAATGCCGCAGTTCCCAAACTTTTGAATCGCCTCGCCCAAGAAGCAGGCGACACGTGTCTCAGGCGCGCCTGCTCCGTGTCAACGAGTTACGGGCACCCTCCACTCCACACAAACAAAAGTTGTACATTGAAGATTAATTTATAAAATAACAAATTAATTCAAGCCTTGATGTGGGAGCAGGCGCCGCATCATTGACGTACTTCTCGACCGTGAGTTAAACGAATTTGTGAATAAAACCGTTGTTTTTAAAAAAAACTTTTTTTAAGGAGTTTATTTTAGGTACACTTCACATTTAAAAAAGCAAAACTTCAAAACCAACTGCAGAAAAACTTCATTCACAATCTACCAATACCAGATGTCAAGCTCTATTTACTTGTAAAAAATAATTTAAAAAAAACCCGATTGTAGACGTACACTCGTACCAGAATGTGTAGAGTGCATATATTCATTAGAAGGGGGTTTGTACGTTGATGCGAGCAACATGTGTGCGTATGCACATGTGTGGTGACATCACCGCCACAGTCGTGAATGGCGGCTATTGTTGTAGGTGTAAGCGCACACGCATAACATCCACTTATAATGTTTGCACATGCACAAAGTCACTTTAAGATGTTTTCTTGTTCTTGTTTTTGTGTTTGTTGCGGTTGGTATAGCCCTGTGAGCCGAATGGCTCACAGAGATATACCAAATAAATGAAACTATAATACACATATGTTTGTTTTAAAATACGTGTGTCGTGTCAATTTGTATGTGCTTTACGTGTTTGTGTGCACACTGCAGTGTACAATCATCTCCGTTAATGACAACTTCGCTGGCAATGCTGCATAGGTTTTTGTCGTGGTGTTGTCGAAACCCTGTTATTCAGCATGATGTCGACGCACATTGCTCCACGTGCTTGGATCTTCTTGAGGAACTGAATAAAGAAGCTCCCAATACGTGAAGCACATGGAGCGAAACGTTGGACGGACATAATTCCCAAGAACATACGGTGCAATCTGCAGACACTGGAGAGCCATCATCGGCCATATCTGACGATACATAGCCAAAGTTACGTGGATGTGCGTGATGATGTATGTTGAACTTCTTTCACACCGTACGTAGCCAACCGTGCTAATCGTAGGTGCTATTGTAAGATAATCTAGGAATCAAGAACCAAGATGTTATCATGGCCACAGCAGTTGATATATGGAGGAATCCCCGAATAAAATAGAGGTTCCCTGAAAAGAATGGCTTTCGGGTTGGTTAAAAACGCAACGTTATGTGAACGCCTTTTGTCTAAATTTTGATTTAAAGCTTTCATAACTGCAGGGATCCATATTCTTGGTTATTTCGGTAAAGTCACTGTGCTCAGCGGAGGCTGCTCAGTAATCGTACCTGTGGGTGCAGCGGTGGTGCCCGCATCAGATTCCTTGCTCGTAGCCCCGACTTTGGGCTTCTTGCTCGGAGGACCTCCACTGGTTTCTGGGAGCGCTCCGATATTGGACAGCTCTGGCTCTGTCTTCTTGGTGGGTATTGGTTGCTTGCTGGTGGTGGCCATCGTGGGCAGTGAGCCGTTCGAACTCTTGAATATGGGGAAAATATGCAAAACACATGAAGAGTTTATATATATTAAAACAAAAAAATACTTCCAACATTGGCAAGTGCTGTATGTTACACACGTCGAGTTAAATTAAGAAAATGTACGCGTTTTTTTTTGGACTGTTATCTCTTGTAGTTGGATGTATTATAAAGTTAAAGTCTTCTTCCGTATGGCTGGTGTAGGTGCAGAGCAACAACTACAAGTGGTTAATGAGCTGACCCGAATATGCATCGACCGACTCCTGGGGGTGAATGAGCAGACCCCCTGGGATTAATAATCACCTGATAGTGGGATAATTAATGACCCAACCGTGTAACACCGGACCCTGAAATTAATGAGCTAACCTGACCTCCATGTACGAGTAGGGCCCTCTTGCCAATCCACTGCTGGATGAGCGCTTGACTACGCAGTGTGGGTATTTGGGGCTTATTTTTCACACACTTCACCACGCTGGTCAGTGCTGGTTAGTAAGAGCGGAGTACATGGGAGCATAGAAATGCGGTACAACAATAACCTGACCCTGGGCTGAATAGCCAGATCCCCTTCCCCACCCCCCTTACTCGGTCGCGAATTGACACGGCCCAAACGTTAAAAATTGATCAAATCCAAACCCCCCGAAGGCTCAAAACTCGGGACGCGTTACACTTGCACTGGGGTCGGAGTTGGTGGCGCTGTGGTTAGCGCATCGCACTCTCCCCACACCACACCCCCCCCCATACCAAAGAGCATTGTCGTGCGTATGCAACCATCCACAATTAAACGCCTAAGTCGCGTGTGTGTGTGTGGTTGTTTTTTTTTATGTCGATACTGCGTTTGCAGTCGGCGGGCAAGCACAGACAACGAGACGCTCAACACATTCGCTCGTTACACCGCGGCCCTAAGAACGAAAATCTCGTGGTCTAGTGAGCGACGTTTCGGCCGATGACATCTCCACGGGGGAATACGTACTCACCGTGCAGAGCAGAATGCTAAGGAGGCGCGTGCAAGACCTCCACACACACACACAAACACACACGCACACAACGATCGCAGCTGCGAGACGGGGCCCTACTCTTTTGCGACCGGGACAATTCTGGTACCTTGAAGATTTTGCAATTAAATCAATCCGGAAGGCTGAGGACGACGGCTGCAACAACGCCCGCTCCCTTTGTGTTCGGTAACGCGAACAAAAAGCCCCAACAAGCATCTGAAACGGAGGCGCGCCTCCCCCCCCACCACCACCACACACACACACACTCGATCGATCCGAGACGCAATTCGATTCCGCGGTGACGTGATTCCTTTTTTTTTCTTTTCGCCGATCCGATTGCTTCGGCGAAACGTGAAAGTTCCGCGCGGAGTCGCCCGCGGAAGGAATCGATTTCACTAAATGAGAAATCGCGAAGGAGAGAATCGATTCCCATTTTGTTTTCGAGAATAGGCATTTAAAAGGGGGGTTCCATCTTCCAATGGCCGTGAGACGATATAAATGTAATACTAATTTATTCCATGCCCTTTTGACGTCAACTGTTACCAAACCACCAAGCGAAAGGCATTTCCATTGGTTCATACGTCTCCTTCATCGACACCCTGTGGCGTGTTTACGCAATTTTTAAGTTTTACCGCAGTTTCCGTCCTGTGTATATGTAAAACTCAACAGTGGCACGACGGTACCAGATATATATCTATATAAGCTCAACACATTCATCAATAACACCGTGGTATTAAAATAAAAACGATATAATCGGCGACGTTTTGGGAAATGGCCCTTCTTGAAAGGACACAGGCCAGATAGAGACGATGATTGTGAGTTGGAGACTGAACTGTACACTGTGGGCCTGACCAGAATTGCATTAAAACGAGAATTCCGGTGAGCACTTTGGAAACTGACACGTTCAGTTACATTTCGATTTAAAGCTTTCGTGACTGCAAGGATTCATCTTCTTTGGTTCTTTCGGTAAAGTCACGTAGAATGAGAATAAAATAATAAATTGATAAAATAAAATAACACAATTCTCACGACGTTTCGGCCACAACACAAGCGGCCTTCATCAGGTGAAGGACGAGACGGCGTGAGTAGGTTAAACGTTGAGTTTTATAAGGGCACCACGGGGTGACCAGCCCCTCCCCACCCAGCCCCACCCTCCCCACCCAGCCCCTCCCCACCCTTCCTTCTCCACCCAGCCGTTGTATATGCCGGGTATTGAAATTTTACTGAAAATAATAAAAATTAAATGAAATTGGGGAACATGCGCAATTGTCCGAAATTATGTTAAGCGATGTAATTATGCGCATAAATTATGCTAATTATAGAGATAATCGAATTAGCTTCATTCTCTCTCTTGCTCGGGGGCGGCCACAGTTTCGGTCCACAGCTGGCTGGAAGAGTCGGCACGACGCTCGCCGACGGTGCGCGATGATCCGTCGTCAGATAGCGCCCACAGCTCATCCGCTGGTCGCCGTTCCTCACTCTTGTCTTGGTTCCCGGCCGGTGCCGCTCGGTGTGCGTGGGCCGAACCCACGGCGCGCTCGCTGGCGCCGACACTCTCGCTCACGGGCGGCTGGTCAGGCTCTTTCCCCTGCTGGATGAGCCGAGTCGGCACAACGCTTGTCTGCTGGCAGCTGACACCCTTCGCTCGGTGGCGCTGGTGGCGCTGCTGCGCGCTCTCTCTTGCTCCGTCTCTCTCTCTCTGGCGATGCTCGATTGCACGTGCAGCTCGTTCGCTGGTGGCAGACACCCTCGCTCGGTGGAGCTGGTTCTCTGTGATGCTGGCCTGGTCGACGCTTGGCGCTTTCCGCCCTTTCTCCAGGTCGAGTGCTTGTCGTCGCTCGGCACTCTTTCTCTCTCATTTCTCTTGCTCCTCGATCGTGCAGCTGCCAGCTTCGCACGGACACCCGCCCCTTACATCAGGGCTGCGCTTTGTCGTTGCTCAACTTTCGTGCTCTTCACCCTCGTTCCAGGAGGGCTCTTGCTGTGAGCTGCTCGTCGCCGGCTGGATCACTCGCTCTCAAAAACTTGAAAATTGTATTTGCACACCTCTTACGCAACTCTGATAGCTTAGTACGATACAGCTTATCGCAATCCTCGATTCTGCGAGCGACTCAAAACATCAGGATGAATGTAGAATAAAACGATACTCTGTCGGTCCATGCCGAACTCAGCACCTAACATCACCTCGCCCCTCTTCTCCGCGAGACACAGCACCCATTGCTAATGTCTTGAGGCCATGCCCCAGAGCTGGCTTGCCGTCCTCTTCCGAGCTGCTGTGTCGAGCTGTCCCTTGCCGAGCTTAAAATGTGTGTGTCGTGTTGCTGTTTATATCTTAAAATGTCTCCCCTCTGTGCGTCTCTTGCGAAAAAAAAAACAGATGCTTACTCCGTCATGCTCTCCCCCCGTGGCCGCGCCTGATTGCCCCCCTCCCCTCTTCTCTTGGTGACCCCGGGCGGGCAGGCGGGCTGCTTTACATCAAATTGGTGTTTGTTTGCACTCCCAAACCCTCTCTTCGTGGTGTCTGCTTGTGTCAAATTGTTGGAAGACAAAGGCGGCCGGGGAGGCTCTGATTTCATGGAATACATTTATCTGGTCGTGTGTGTTTGACCTATTTTCTTGTACCTCTAATGAGTTACCCCAGGTCTAATCTCTAGTGATTATTATTTGGTTTATGTTTAACCAAGATTTGTAATGGACCACTAGTTGTTACCTCCGGTATTTCAAGGGTTTGCCAAGCTTTGTTATAAGTCTGTGTCACAAGGGATCGGTGTTTTATTCTCGAGTTATATTTTGATATCCCGAGGCTGGAGATATAACCAAGCCCTCACTTTCTTGACTGCCAGAATTCACATTCCTTGGTTCTCTTGGTGAAGTTACATAGATAGAAATATACAATAAGAAACAATATGAGTTAAATAAGGGTGAAATAAAATAAGTAACAATAAAGCCACGAATATAGACTGCAGTCTATCATGTCGACTTACTCTTATAGCCAAGCTTCAACAACTTTTTCTGTACAAAAAAATTATATTGTCCGTTTGCCCTGTGCTCTGTGTCCGTACCTGTGATTCTGCATATTTGTTTGTGAACTGTCCAAAGCGCCAAGCAGGTCATGGCATGCGGTCCTTTGGCAATCTGGAGATTTTGCTGATCGTCGTTAACCTCTCTTTGTCCCAGGGTTTATTATTTAATGGCCTTTTACGACCTCCAGATGCTTGGTGCTTGTGGGAGGTAGTGGGTTTGAGGGTGTTTTATTTATTTATTTTATCGATTATAATTTCAAAAAAATATTGGCAAAATCATTAATATCAATTTTGGAAAAAGGCCTATATATACAACACAGCCCCACCCCTCCCATTTTTGGATGCACGACGGACGGACACAATAATCCCCTGTGGGCTGGTGTAACCAGGACGTTCCTACCAGTATATCTCCTCTCTCTCCCTCCCACCTACTAACATCTTCCTCGAACCTCCGCCCAAGTCCCCTCTTCACCAAACTTCTCTTCACCTCTTTCTCCACCCCTTACCGTTGTTTTTTCCTTTGTCTGACCATTCTTTTCCGCTCTTTTCCCTTTGAATCCCCTGGCCAATCTCCTGGCCTCTTTATACTCGATGTTTGCCCACTGCTGTTCAGAGAATGCACCGACGCCGATCACATCCTGGAAGCGCGCCATGATAATGTCCAATGGGACACGCTTCTTGATGGCGTCGTTGCCCATGTCAAACGTTGAATTGCACCTGGTCGGCGAATCCTGGTGCGAAAGCTCCTTGCTGACGAGCTTGGCGATCTCGGCCTCGCGGCGGTACGACTGCCGGAAGACCTTGCTGCGCATGATATTGACGAGCGCCTCGTGCAGTTCGGCATTGGTCGACTTGATCAGTTTGAGAACTTGGACGCCAATCTGGACCGAATGATCCGTACAGTGAATATGGTGGCAAGCCCGCAACGGCTCATATCTGGCGTCCGCGTCTTGACAGCACTGATCGCATCGGAGCCATTGTCGCTGTTGACAGCGAGCAGCTTGGTCGAGACATTGTGCCCGAGGCTTTGGAGGTGCTCAAACAGAGCGGTGCCAATGCACTTGCCGACACCCCTTCTGGACTGCAAATTAAGGATTGTCAGCAGCATTGATTTAGACGCACCAGATTTGGTGTCGATCCAGTGCGCCGTGACCATCCAAAATCCCTTCAGGTTGCGGTTCGACCACCCGTTGATGGTGAGCGAGATGGCGACATCCGGGTTGGAGAATAACGCCCCGACGATGGGCAGCATGATGGCGTGAAGCTGGACAATCCTGCGAATGATGATGCGGGTCGACGGGCCCTCGTATCCCTGCGTCAATGTGTGGACCAAGGTCTTGAACTTGTCGCTGCCAGCGGCTCGCAAAGAGATTGCACCTTGGATAACAAAATCAACCACCGTGTTCTCAAACTTTACCAGTAGGCAATCGGGGATTGCTGGCCGGCTCAGCGTTTGATCGCCGAAGCCGACGTCCCGACCTCGCTGCCTGTGGCGGGCACATTGTATTTTTTTAGGTGGGCTTTGCACTCCGATGCATTCGTGTGGGAGGAAAACCACTTGCGGCAGTGCATGCACTGCTACTTTCCTTGTTGCACACATGAAACACCCTCCATCCAATCATGCGTGTGCTCCCACGGGAACGCATGCCGCTGTCTCTTTTGATTGCTGTTCGCAGTGACCCTGGAAATGCCGTTGCTGGCATTCTCGACCTCATCCTCTACCTCAAGAACGAGGTCAATCTCCATGTGGTCTGACATCAATGATTCCAATTCCAAATGGAGGCCACGGACTGCGCCACGGAGCTATTAGCGAGCGGTAAACAAGGCACAGTATATACCGGGTAATATTTCGAGCTACCTTTACCATACTGGGTAATTCTTCCACGCTACCTTTACCCTACCCTTTACCTTACCCCTTGGCATGGTCGACACCTTTACCTTTTACCTTTACCCTTTTACCCGGTAAAAAGGGTAAATCACCTGACGTTGACTAGGCCTACAGTGGCGAGGAGACAATGAACCGCCGATGGCATACCGTAGCGCCTTGTTGGCGTTTGCTAAGGTAGCATTCCCGCGGATAGATAACGCGGCGTGGAATGTGCTGGCCTTGTGCTACCTATTGTACGGGAGAGCGGAGGAACCAGACGGCCAACGGAACTGACAGGAGCAGTGGCGACGGCGGCCACCGCCGGGCCCAGCCTGAGCAATGATCTTCAAATGACCTTGGAGGAGATGGCAGCGGCATTCCGTGAATTTTACAGTCCAAG